ATCTACTCTACGAAGCAGTGCCTCTCTCTTAAAAGTATGAACGGTGGGTCGCTATTCAAAATTTAGCGGCAAACGCCAGGAGTTAATCGTCGCGCCTTTTATCTGGAATGTTCTATTAAATAGGTGTGATAGCTTCAATGAAATTTAAAGAAAACGTTCTTATAGCCTTAGATTCGAGGTTTAGAAAGTATATTTAACACATTCTACAAATTCCATATTGTATATATGCATGTAGCACTGAAGCGGTAAAACTGTTATGAATTTTTAACTTTTTTCAATTTCCTGTTTATCCCCAAAGTGAACTATCCCGATTAGTTAATCGAAAGAGGTCGAAATGTTTCGCTGAAAAACATGGCTCGCCCTACGACGGTCAAGGAATCAGATATCATTTATGCTAAATAACTTGAATCAGGTCTTTGAGACAAGAGTTCTAAACTAAACTCCATGAAGAGATCTTTAAAAAATCGTTTTCTTATTTATGTCTTATTTATTAGTTTAATATGACACAAGTGTGCATAGGAAAAACAGTGGTTAAGATTTGAACTTTCAATATTAATTGATATTCTTTTTTGAGAAAGTATTACTTATAAGTATGATTTAAGATCTGTTTTCCGTTGTGCACAAATGATATTAGGTATCGAATTTCATTTCCACATTTAGTCTTTTCTTTTTCTACTTTGAAAACCAGCCAAATCGAATTATAGAAAACGTTAGTTTGACACAGAACTGCAACGAAACTACGACGTGACAATCCAAGTATTCCTTTACATTGCATTTATTCTTATATTACTTTCGTTAAAGCAAACGCTCGGTTGCCTCCGTAAACCACTATTGCGAAATGTCGGCGTTGACAGAGACAGCCGCCATTTTGGACCCGCTTCAGATTTTTGAATGCTAATATCTAGACTTTAGATTTATAAACAATCAAACAAATTATATAGTAAGCATTATACGGAGGGCTTCTATTACCATACCAAATATAAATGAAAAATACTGAAAAACAAAAAAGTTAGAAAATACGATTTTTTAAAGTTTGCAATTCGTAACGACCGGAAGTACTGACGACGCACGAAAAGGCGATTCTGCAAACCACAAAGTCATGATCTATCATCTCCAATAAGTCTCCAGTTCATATCCTTAGCCATTTTCGATAAAAAGGGGCGACAAAATCGCATTTTAAAATCAGAAAATTGTCCATAACTTGGCACCAGAAGCGAATTTTCCAAATTTCTCTTCGGATATAACAACTTCATATAATAACACATATTTTGTGAAAGTTTCATGAAAAACCGCTGAATAGTTTTCGAGAAATCGCCTGCACAAAATTTTGTCAAAACAAGCTAATTCAGAGAATTCGTGTCCCCCGCTTAGGGAAAAAGTCGGCTCCCCCTGACTGAATTTGTAGAATTATTAAATGTATACATGTATACTGAAGCAAATAAAATACATGTATGTCAATATGCATATAAAGATTTGATTGCTTATTCTTCATTATGTGTATAGAAGATTTTTTATATGGAATTTTTATCACACTGTAATGATGATTTTATAACCTCATAAATTTTTCATTTCACATGCTGAATACTATCATTTAGTAAAAAAAAAAGTATTTAAAAAAAAAAAAAAAAATTAAGGTCCGACCGAGATTCGATCCCGGGACCTCTCACACCTGAAGCGAGAGACATATCCACTAGACCACGGTATCGCTTTACAAGGTGCGAAGTATATGCAGAAGTGAAGTCACATACATGTATATATTCATGTTTTCATGTTCGGTATTCTCAAAATTTTACACAATCCATGGTGTTTGATTTATTTAGCCTTTATTAAACAGTTCTAATAGATGTAATAAGAACATCAAGTCCGCCGAGAACCTGTTTTATACGCAATAACTCTCCTCATGCCCTTGCGCTAAAAATAGCGACATGTAATACTATAAATACTAATAAAACAAACGGGGCGGGGCACTTTGAGAGGGGCGAGAGACGTCCTAGGGAGTTTTGATATAAAATTACATTGCATAAGCTCAAAAGCTTCTTGAAATATCGCCCGGAAATAATAGTATTACACACAGACAGAATGTATAAATTTACGGCCTTGAACTTTGACCTTTTGACCTCAAAATCAATAGGGGTCTCTCTTAGGCCACAGGGAGTTGTTATATAAAATTTCATTCCAATAGCTCAAATGGTTCTAGAGATATCGTGTGGAAACGAAATTGTTTTAACAGACAGAATTTGCTTATTTATGACCTTGACCTTTGACCTTTTGATCTCAAAATCAATAGGGGTCTTCTTTAGTCCACAGGGAGTTGCTATGCTAAATTTCATTGCAAAAGCTCAAAGGGTTCTCGAGATATCGTGTGGAAACGAAAGCGTTACAGACAGACAGAAAGACGGACGGACGGACGGACGGACAGACGGACGGACAAACCCAAATTAATATCCCCCACTTTTCAAGCGGGGGACAAAAAAGAATAATAATAATAATAAGAATAATAAGAAACAGTAGAATCACTATAAGGTCTTCCGTGAAGACGGAAGACCTTAATAAGAAACAGAGTAAAAACAATATGTTCCCCAACTTCGTTTGGGGAACATAATTACTGGTACATCCTGACAAAAGATGAAGATTTATTTAGAAGATAAACTATGGCCTATATAGACGCTGAGGATTCAGAAATACTAGCCACCCCTGGGGTAGCTTACAATATTACATGAGGACTCCCATGACAATTTCAAGTCCTCGCCCACTGACGTCAAACACAAAGACAGCCGCACAAGATTTATATACATATTAGGCCTCCTTAGCTCCTGACCTATCTTTCAAAGAGATATACTCTTCAAAAAAAAAAAGAAACGCATACTAGAATTTTAATGACGTATTGAACATAAAGATTATTTAGTAAAATGATGCATTGATAAAACAGAAATGTGGTAAGCAACAGGAATACTATCTAAATGTCATTATTACTCAACAATTTTAAAGTTATAGTCAGTTTTAGACCACTAAAGATCAATATCTGGTATGCCCCCCGCAGACACAAATGATACCCACAAACGGCATCAAAAGGAAGCAAATGTGTGTAATAAAAACTGTATAGGAATACTCTCCCACTCCAAATGTAGACCTTTGGTCAGCTGTTGCGCAGAGTCTGGGGATGCGATTGTCTTTGGCAAATCATGTCAATCCATTTTGTACGATGCTGCTTAATTTGGATTAAATCTAGCGATTTAGATGACTGTGGCTTAAACAGGTTGTTGTTTCTTTGCTAGAATAAATGTGTCAAACGAGCCATACGTGGCTTTGTATTGTGAGATTGCAATACGGCTCTAGGATGCTGCAAAATTGAATGGGTATGTATAGGTAGAACATGGTTAAAGTACCTTTTTCCATCAAAGTCCATTGAATTCGAAGCAAATTAATCTTACTTTCTTATAATACCCTTTTCCATATCATTACACTACCACCACCAACTTTTTTAACGTCCTGGAGGCAGTTATCTGTCTAACATTCATTACAAAGCATTAGCACTCTTAAACTTATAAGAGGCTTTCAGATAAACATTCTGGACTAGTAGGTTAACCAAAATGTTCAGCAGTGATGCTGCGGTCATACTCTATTGATCTGAGATCTTTGAAGTCGATATTTGGGGTGTGTGTGGTCGGAACAATGGCAATAATAATCCTCTTGCAATAATTCGTAGTCAACTGAAAACTGTCTTGTTTGATGATCTGTGCAGTTCAGGGATAGCTAATGCTTTAGATGACGTCCTTGCATTACATTCATGCAACTTACGCAATCCTCAGTAGTGATGCTGTGCTGCAGATGTCACACGTAGTCTACCATATTTTTTGCGAACATTGGGTGATCGATGTTAATGGTTTATGTTTTATAGGTTAGATATGTTCTGTGTGTAACATTAAAACCTCTTGCAATTGTAGATTGCGGTACCCCTGCTTTATCGCCCATTTTCCTTTTTGTTCTCCGCAACATTAAGATGCAGCATTTTTAGGAAGCGTCTTTTTTCAGATATAACCAGATTCAAAATTTAATATCGAGAACCCCCGCTTTTGATAGCCCCTTTGTACCTGAAAGAATTTCGTCGGAATACAATAAATGAAAATTGAGATCAAAATTTTGGGGGAAATAAATAGAAGTTGTTATTAATCAATTTGATTTCAGTTCCATCCTATTCATTTTATACAACCTTCGTAGAATATTCTGACATTTTTCTCTTTATAACGTCTTCAAAAGTGCTCAGATAATGAAAAAGTGAATATATAGAAAATTATCAATCTCAAAAAGTCGACAAAACAAAAAAAAAACCAAAAACAAATCTGTGAAGAGAACAAATTACACGGGCCCCTGTAAAATCCAGATGTAGGATGAGATGCCCACGAGAAGTAAACATCATCTGTTGCCTGCTTGAGCCCTATGTACTGATCAGGTTTATGAAGCCTTCCATATTCAAATCTGGTATAAAACTGAAAGCCTAATATATGGTATGAAATAAGTCAGGCAAATCTGCACTCAATCGTATGTTATGTTTGCAAATAAGATCATTTAAACGACCGTGGAATTTGCGAAATGTTGCCTTAATACGAGGTTGTTGAAATCTTAGTAAGATCAACTTATCCTTCAATAGTCTGCCTCGAATTGGTCGTTCTTGGAGCATGATCTTGATTATCAAATAAGTTTGGAGATGTTAACACTACTTGCAGGTGATATACATGTAGTGGGATATTACTACTTTAAGGTCAGACGAGACGTTCCTCAAAATCTTTTTAATTTTTAAATTCATTAAAATATCCAGGACTTGGAAATGAAAATAAACAATATATGAAGATGATAATATGAAATACCGCAGACAATTAATGCATTAAATGATTTTCAATGAAGAAAGATGTACAAGTCTCTTTTACATTAAATTGTTTGGCAATTACAGTAACACAACCTCTGTTTAAATGCTGCAGTCAGTTTCCCTTATCTTTTTCCGGCTGAAGAATATACAATACTATACATCGTATCCTCAGTCGACTGTGTTGCAGCATTACCTGAAAAAGAAAAGCGATCTTATACTTCATAATCAGATACATGTATTGATACATATAAGATAGATGTTAAACAAGAAAAAGCTTGTTACCCCTCTTTAACACAATGACAATGATTATGATGATAACAGCGATAAAAACGACGACTCCTATCCCTAGCGCCAGAGGTAAAGTCCAAGAGGTACTGGAATAAAACAATAAATTAATGTTTACACAAGTGTATTATATGAAGTAATTGAGTTCATTGTTATTATGTTCCCCAAACGAAGTTGGGGAACATATTGTTTTTACTCTGTTTCTTATTATTATTATTATTATTATTATTATTCCTGGGAAAATTTTGTCCTCGAGTGATCTTGTAAACTACACATCTGAGTAAGGTAAAATGTTTTTAGGGTCAGTAGACATATTATGTAGATTTGCCGAACAAAGGTCATTTTGCGCGCACGTGCTTGCAAGAGCGCGCACGTGCAACACGAAAAATGACGATTTAATTGATATCGGCGTAACTTTTTACATTTTTGATGAAATGCTTTGAAACTGATAATATAAGGATATATTAGTAGCATAGACAATAAGACATGGTCAAAATAGCAAGATCTCACGCGCATGCACGTGCGCTTCGCTCTGATTGGCTGAAACTAAAGTCTCAATATCTTTCTTGTTTTTTGATGAAATCCTTTGAAATTTTGAACATAGCCATGCATTAGGATATCCTACAAAATGATATATAAAAATTATCATGAAAACACGTGCATGCACTTGCGCTGCAATCTGATTGGCTGAAACTTTAAATAGCTATAACTCCCTTGGTTTTCAACCAAACAGGATGTGATTTGGAACATAGATAGATATAATATACTTCTACAAGAAGGTATGGTCACCATGCACATCCATACACGTGCGTGTACGTGCGCTGCAATCTGATTGGCCGAAACTTTAAATACCTATAACTCCCTTAGTTTTCAATTAAACAGGATGAGATTTGGAACATAGATAGATATAATGGACTTCTACAAGAAGGTATGATCACCATGCACATCAATACACATGCGTGAACGTACGCTGCAATCTGATTGGCTGAAACTTTAATCAGCTATAACTCCCTTGGTTTTCAACCAAACGGAGTGGGATTTAGAACATAGATAGATGTAATGGACTTCTACAAGAAGGTATGTCACCATGCTCATGTATGCACGTGCGTGCACGTGAAATGAATAAAATCAAAAATACACTTGAATGAGCGTATTTTTTAATACTTTTGGATTAAATACTTTAATATTTAGTATATTAAAGTATACAGATTGTGTAGAAAAGATGATATGGTCATTACGCACATGCATTCACATGCGCACGCGTGCAGTGCTAAATTTGAATGAACTTGGTACCCTTCTGGGTAAACGTTGTTAAAGTCTCAAATGCATAAAGTTTGTCTTATTTGATGAAGCTTACAGGGAATATGGCACCAAAAGGGAGATGGGGAGCGTTTGGGGAACATCTGTAACGGTCCCCGTTACAATTAGCACTAGTTTCGATTGACACAGCTTTTAATATGATTTATCAAACAGAGACGAGTTTGACATATTTCCTAATAGGATATCATAGCCTACACCAGAAACTGTCTATTTAATACTTGAGATTCTTCTAATGTTACTAAATAAGGGTATCAATTCCAATTTGACCGTTTTTATTTATAACTAGGCCTGGCCAAGGATTAAAAAACATGGAGACTTCAGCAAGTCTAAGGTGGCAGAGGATAGTTTCGAATAAAGTACCGGTCAAAAAATAGAAAAAATAGAGAAACCTGAGGTTTGAATGCATATTATAGGTAATTTTATTGCTAGAATATTTTATGGGTGCATTTGGAGGGACCTTGTATATTTTATTGAAATATGACACTTTAGTGTCACTACTACTGTATATGGGATATGGACTAGAAATACGAAACTAAGCTCAAAACTCGCTCTACCGGTATTTCACCAGAAAAGCGGGGTGGGTTCACAGGATGAATTGTAGCTTGAAAACGAGGTGGTTGAGCCATTATCTCTTGCTGTTCATTGGTATGTACAAATGTTATTCTGCAATTTGTGTGGTAGCTTAGGTCAGGCGCACGGGCCTGGAAGCAGATGGGGCTGCGGCGAAATAGTGAAAATAGGCTTGATTCACATGAAATTTTGAGATTGTCCCTGCGCCATCTTTAGGGCTCATTCTGTAAGTTGTACATGTTTTATTCCTAAAAGCTTCAAATTTCTCAAGGGACTACTTCATACTATTATTACATGTAGAGGGAATTTAAAATTTTTCAATGCACATTTTTAAAGCAGCTCAATATTAAGTAAACCGTCACTCAAACGTTTTGATTGTAAAAAAACTATCCTCTGCCACCTTCAAGAATGCATCAATTTTTAGAAATGTGAATTTTAGTCTGATTTTCATACAAAAGGGTTTATTTATGTAAGTCACTTTAAAAAAATACTTTGTTTCTGTTATTTAAAATCTGTACAGATAGGTATATTCACTAAAAAGCAAGGGGGGTTACTCTTTTCCAGCATACATTTTTAAAGACTTTGAACCATCAGCATAATAAATCATATAACATTCAGGCATTTTTTGTCAGAGAATAAATTAATTGTTTGAATTTGATACTTTGGGTATTGTCGCATAATTAAAATCATGTCTTGCTTTAATTAATCAAATCTAATTAAAATTCAAGTGTATTAATTAGTGCGATATCACTGAAATTACATATATTTGCCATTTTTTCAACCTAATTTACTAA